TCACAACACTGAAGTCTTCTCGGAACTGATACTTTCTCTAGCATAAGCAGTTTTCTCCCAGCTGCCAAGAAATATCTAGTACCTTCCATTTCTCGAAATTACTGGAAGGCATATATATGGTTAAAGTTACATATAAGAGCCGGATATGGTTACAGTTACATATAAGGATCCATTACAGTCATTACGTTACAGTACCAGTTATAGTTCCACAGGTGCCGGACTAAAATATCACCAAATACCAAATAGGCATCCAATTTGGCGACGTTTGTCTATTTTTCGTCAAATTTGTCACTGAAAATTGTCGTCTAGCTGGGCGATATCTCGCCAATTTAGCTAGATAGCCATTTACTTCGATGTTAAATTGACTTGCCCCTAAAATCTTTTTCTGGCAGAGCTACACTTTCTTTAGACTTTACATGTTAGATTATAACAAAGAAGCAATTTAACCTATAATATCACTAAAATTATTTAAGAATACACAAAATTTATAAGACATATTATAAAAATATAATTATGAAAAATTTAAATCATTGTTTTATTTATTTAATTACATATATATTAAATCGCTTTTATTAGGAGAGCCAGTAGCTTCAAAATAAGAAATAAAACTCTGTTAACCAAATAGTAGTATTAACACAGTACTTCAAAGAGCTGTATAACAGAAATAATAGTAATGATTTCTTCTTTCGAAGTTATTATCATTTCAAAATTTCTAAACCTTATTCTACGACCGTGTACAGGATACATGATCATCTTCAAGTGCAGTGATAGAAAAATTTGTTAAAGAAAGTTTAGAAATCTTCAAAAAAGAAATTAGTCTTCATTTAGTTAACACTATCTGAAGTAACATAATGCTTTGGTGGCTTATCAGTTTAACATGCATATTAGTTTTAAACAATGTTAACTACCAGACATTTAAGAAATGCTATTACTTGAAGAACGGGAGATTCTCTGGTTGTCACTGCTTAATCTTCAACTAGCCTTTATAAAATGCAGACTTTAATGCAGTTAGTTTCTTTTTGATGAATAATTTGGAATTCTCTAAAAGATTTACTACAATCACTACTGATTTTCATTAAATGTAATACTAATGTAAGTATCGAGAAATGTCCTGCTTGTTATACCCGAAAGTATAAGAATTATTGATAATACGTTTCTAGAAAATTTATATACTGTATAACTGCAATACAGCATTAACTAGATTATAAATTTTGAAACTTTTAACAGCTTGTGATAAAAATACACTTAACAAAAGAAATTATAATATCGAGAAAACTACATGCTCAAAACTCAACTATTTTTAAAACTACATACTCAAAAATGAAACAGACGAAAAGCAAAAATAAAAATATTTAAAACTATGCGAATTACAGAGCAAGAAAATATTTAAATGAAAAACTGAGAGAACAGTCGGTGCATATGTTAAGCATGAAAACCATATAGAGATTCCTTTCATTATTTTTTCATACTTTCCTGTCATATTAAACCTGTGCAGCGCAAAAAAGGAAACTAGAAACTAAGCATTGGCTACAGTCTTAAGAATTTGCTTATCTTTTGATATTTTATTCTTGCCTCTCGGCTCTTAAAGTAGTAACCATTTCACCGTCACACATTTCTGGGACATTCAAGATACTCTGGGTTTTTTATAAAGAAGTTTTACCATAACATTAATTAAATTATTTCTTCAACGCGATTTTGCATTTTCATAAGTACGTTAACTAAGTAAGGAACTTTCGTTGCTGACACTGATAATTTGTACTGTTTGAAACACTACTTTTATATTATATTTAACGGAGTTTGAAAATTTTCACGTCTTCTCGGAAGAATCGCACATAGTTCAAATTTTCCTCAAGTAGTAAGGCATTCTTTGTAACTAACTTAAAAATAAATGATGCTCCATTTATTTGTTTAATGTATGAAGTAAAATTAAAGGTTTTCTGTTCAGTAACAATTTTCAATTCACGTTTTCTTATTTAAACACCAGATGATCCAGAAGTAAGAAAAAAGTATAATTTCAGTCATTCGAAAAATATCAAAAGGAAAATGATGACTTTTTCACACAAAGATAAAAGGGGGCTCTGCTTAAATAATAAAAGATTTTATTTCCAGAACAGTTACTTTTACACAGGTATGGTTGCTTCAAGTTTGTACAGAGTTGCAGAAATGTTTGCAGCGCGCAGCTAGAAACACAAATTTTCAGTGAGACGCACATAATTTATGAGACTGACTGCCAGACGTGGCTTGACACGCTGCACAACATCAAATGCGTTTAGCAATAACTCCCGTCACATCACGCCGTATATAATTATTCGACACGGTCATCTCTGTACAATTGGAACTTCAAACAGCCTCATTACCAAAAGCCATAAGATAGTAGGCTTGGAGACGATATGTTCGGCTCATTTAAACACGGCTTATTCCTTTTATTTAAACCTTAATTGCACGCCAGTGCTATCTGCATAAAGGGATGGATGCTTTCGTGCAGGAATTTGCAGAGTATTTAGTGTTTTTTGAAGCAGGAGACGTGAAAAATATGCAATGTCCTTGCCTAAACTCAAACACTGGGCCTCTGGAATAACCGAAGAGTATGATTCTAGTTACACCACGATGGCATGATGGAAGGAGGGAGAAAATACCTTATATAGTCCCCCTTTTAAAGGAAGACTGGGGGATTAGGGAAGCAAATCGCCAAATCCTAGTTGAGTCGAATTATTGTCCACCACTTTTAATTTGGGCACCACTGTAGTGCCATTAGCTTTTAGTCCAAAGGGATTTGAGTCCCCGAAGGACTATTACTTTCGTTTTGGCGTTTTGCGTCGGACTCCTGTAAACGTCGGTTCACTTTTCAAACTGTTGCTACAAAGTGTTAGAGTTCTGCATTATATTTGAAGAAATTAAATAATGAAAAATCTGCATAAACGTATGTATATTTCTCGCAATGTGATAAAACAACGGTATCTAGAGCTATCCAACTTTGAATGACGTAATCCTACTGCGAATATGGGCACCTGAAATCCCAAATTTGAAATTTGGAATTTGTTTTATTATCGATTTCATATTTTATAAAACTTTAACGAATTTTTGAGTAACAAACTCAACGATTTAAAAGCGAGCAATGGCAACATTCTACCGGGGGGGGACCTTTTATCTGAAGCGCGTCGAACTGTGAATTGGAAATTCTAAAGATATGCTCATTCTAAAATTATTCTGTGACATTGCTATTGAACTAAATTTTATGGTTTAAGTGCAAAGAACTTGATATTTAATAAATAAAGGTAACACACAAAACGGTGGTAAAAAAAAAAAAAAAAAAAAAAAAAAAAAAAAAAAAAAAAAACGCTTTTTTTGACGTAATTTAAAATCTGAAACATATTGTCAAACATTAAAAATGTACAGTGCCCTATCTGGGACTTGAACGCTGGACCTCTCGAACACGCTTCCAATTACACCAAAAAGGCCTGCTGGAAGGAGGGAGAAAATATTTTATAACATTCTAAGGTTAACTGGCCCATTTCTGTGTTATACTTGGGTAAACCCATGAAAATAGCCATGTAGCCAGACCTTTCCCTTAAAGTAGAACACAGGTTGAATTACCAACTTTTAACGACTTTATCCTCAGCCGAAATTAAGCCTATAAGGTTTGGAGAATTTTACGATAATTCGTACAGAAGAGAGCTACTGAGAACGCAGTCATTATAAATTTCGATTGCAGCAGGTACTGAGCTCAAACTGAGCGAAGGTGCTCCACCCTACACGAATGTTACACTAAGATTGCATTGCAAAAAGAAAATGATGCTGTCACTTAAAAGCTCTGTATAGCTTTCGACTATGATAAAAGCAATTCGTAATTTACCGCTGCAAATTTCTTTAAAGAAAAATATTCTTATAATAACAATACAGCTAACCCTCACCAGGGTGCAAATTTGGCTCAGGCGAAGGTGTTCTCACAAACATCTGTTTTTTTTCCTCCCCTAAATATAGCAGCTGTGTATACTATTTACTCCTCCATTAAGAGAAAAGTCTACTTCGTCGATGCGCAGATGTTTGAGATACAGTCCTCTCAATTGTTGAAAAGTTAATTTGCAAAATAACGATATATTTTATAATATCTCGGTATCAGTTGCTGCTCGAGTCGAATTTTACAAGCTTACATCTTGACTGTCACACAAAAATGTACGAAATATAATTTTTTCCGGACTACTACTATCATTGAAAATGATTACTGTTCTGGAAGCAAAAAATTACGTTTATTAAAATATTTCGTATTTCTCTTCGCAATTTGGTGAAAAGAAACATTGTGTTATTGTCTATCCTTTTATATTACTGCATTTTTACATTTTTCAGCTACATTTGGAAACTCAGTATAGTGTATAGCAAAGATCACATATAATAGAAAAAAATATGCATTTCTTTGTATTAAAACCCGATTTCTGATGCAAAATTTCGAAGCAAAATTTGAGAAAAGAAACTGAAAACTTTTTGGATTACTTCAATATAGAATTATTATAAACTGTTTAATATAACTATAATAATCTTATAATCATTGAAATATCATTCAATTCTGAAATGTCAGAAATTTAATGTGTTATATTACGCTTATTTTAAAATACTTATATACTTTGTTTAGCAAGAATTTAAGATTTTGATTAAACAATGTATATTTTATTCATGTTTCACTGCGATAATGTGAAGGACAAATTGTAACTTAAAATGCAGGCTTTCTGGAAGATCTTAATTTTTGAGTGCAGCGTTCATTATTAATTCAATAGATCAAAATATCTTAACACTGATGATTATCTTTCGCGTTTTATTAGGTGAAAGACTAAAATGGATATTTCTGCTTTTTTTCAGTGTGCAAAACGAATAAATATTTGCCTTAATTACATTTCAGTGTTGCAAAAATACGTGTACTATATTGAAAAGCTGATTACTCGCATAATGATCACATTTCTTTCATATATGTAATGGTAACAAAAATCTAAGATTACTTCTTGTTTTAGGAGGTTGTGAATCCACCAGAAAAGATGCTAGAGGACCACTCTTTCGGAATGAACCCCCAGCTAGAGTAGAATTTTCGAACAGCAGTGGCACTGAACTAAGGTGCAGCGCTGATGGAGTACCTACTCCAAGAATTAGTTGGCAGACAAGAGATGGTGGGGTAGCAAGAGATGTCCCTGGTTTGAGGCACTTGAGATCTGATGGAACACTGGTATTTCCACCTTTTTCGAGATCTGACTACAGACAAGATGTCCACGATACCGTATACCAGTGCTTGGCATCAAACAGTGTTGGTGTTATACTCAGCAGAGAAGTACATGTTAGAGGAGGTAAAACTTTTAAATATTTTTTTTTTAATTCAACTTATGAATAAAGTGATTAAATACATTTTCTATTTAACCATCCACGAAATTTGGAGTAAAACAAATAAATGTGTGACACTCATTTGGTAATTTTGTGAGTGGGTAATATCGCAGTGAAAACTATTAAAAATATTTATTGTTACATTTTCTACCTAGCATAGTTCGATCTGTTCACAATGAAAATTGTTTATTTAAGTTTAAACTACACGTTTTACTCATTAATGGGACTGCGTTAAATCAAGATAAAAATCATTATCTTAAGAAATATGTTTGTAGGCCAAAGAAAAAAAATAAAAATAAGAGTTGTATTATAAATTATTAACCATATTGCTCTCAAACTGTTACTAGCTAAAACTGTCAGATAGCGGTTGATAATGAGATTACTTGTATTTCTTGTAAACAATCGGATAATTTTTGGAAGGTGACCTGCAGTTGTTGCTAATCAGTGAAACTAAGTTATGTTTAAACATTAAGTTATACATCGTAAGTAATGCTTTTAAATTAAAGTACATATATGAATTAGCATTCATCTGAAGCTTATACTCCTGTATTAAACCTTCGCGTTCATTCCCCGTGAGCAATCCTTATATGCATTCAATGATTTATGGAATTCTACGTAATAGTTCAAATATAGCTGCAATCGAATTTGCAACAAAATTTCTCAAAAATAGATTGTAAATCATTTATCTTGTAGCTTACCATTGCAGCTGGTGGCAAACAAAAATTAATTTAAAAAGCATCTCAAACAAACCAATCAAAAAACACTAAATTTTATTGCGTCACTTTACGCTCAGATGTTTTTACGCACAAAATACAGATATATTACATCCTTCATCATATCCAAATATTTGTATGAAAAAAGGGGGACAATGTCAAACGTATTAGTAGGTTATTAGAATGCTTTTCTACAGGAACTACTGGACTCAAAATGAATCGTCAAAGATATAGAAGTATCCTGTTCCTTAGAAAAATGAAATATAAAAACTCTCTTTATCACATTTATGAGTTGCTAAACACACATTTATATAATTTATGACATTTGCAACTAACAATAAAAATGCAAGAATAAAACAACTAATTGGAATAATAAATCTTTGATAATGAAAACAAAATCAAGATTTATTATTTGTATATCCCCATCAGCTTAAAAAGTTTGAGCATCAACTGAGCAACCTGCATCTAATTAGGAGAAAGGTATTTACATCTATTTAGTTATAGTAGAAGAAAAAATAAATATCCAGCGTAAAATCTGTGGTTCAATTTAAGAATATTTAGCACATTCCTACAGGATTTATTACTTGGCCAGTTAAAAATATCTTAAGGATGACATTACGTCCGTGCTCGATAGTGGTTTAAACATAGATCTCTAAAAAAATTAATATATTGCTTAGTCATGTTTAGACTTAGAATTACTTAGAATTGGTGTTTCCCATTTACATCGTTCTTAAAAATGAAGCAGCAAAGACCTTTTATACGAACTACTAAATGAAGACCGCAACATAAGACCATTTGCTGCTCACACCTTCATGGGATGAGACTTCTGCTTCTTCTCTTGCTCCTCAATTGGAGGCGGTAATTTCTTTCATTTTATCTGATAAAGACAGTGCTGTACACTAAGTTGTTTGGATTGCTAGTGTGATGTTGTAATAGTCGTTGTGTATTGATTTTCTGTTGTATGGGTTGAATTTGTGTAGTTGTATAGTAGTGAAACTTTTGTTATTGTTGTATAGCATTTTGGACCATGTTTTGCATTTGTCGTTTCTCTGAATTGTGAAGGATCCGTTCGGATTTTCTTCATCTTGTCAAGTTCCGTTCACCTGCTAGATGCCTCTGGCCTTTTTCCTTTTGGTAACCATCTCACTTTTCCTTTCTCCGTTTGCTCATCCGAGATGTTTTCCATTTCCTGAATTTATTATGTCATGTGCCCTTGGGCTTAATTTAAGGAACCGGCAAAGTTGCACCTGCAATAGCTCGGTAATATAGAACTGCCTAAGTCTATGTCATCTTGCTCTATTAGGTTGTCTCTTTTTGGTCGCCCTAATTTATTTCCTGGTTCACCTTATGCTTGCCTTGCCTTGCAGAGTTTTCTTTCCGCTTCGTCCATTGTCTAAGAAGACGTCACTGTTCAAAGTTTTGGTGTGCATGTCGCATCCATAAGTGGAATTGTGAATTGTGAATCTGTTTAAATGTATCAAGGCGTGCTCTATTACGAAAATAAATTTATTTGAAATCAGCGGCTACGGTTGAAAGATTTTTCTGTCCTGTTCTCTCATCTTAAACATCCACGCAACTGTTTTTTAAATCCTCAAGCCATTTATACAAATCATGACATATATATAGCAAGACAATTAAAAAAAATTAAAGTGTACATATCAAATTCACCAGATTTGTCAGAACTGAAGGATGCCATAAAATTCGTTATTATTTTAAATAATCATCTGCCTGCCATGCGTTACTGTATGCGAAGGTACTCACGTTGAAAGCTTGTAATTTCAATAAAAAGTTTTTTTTTCCTCTTCTCTCTTGTGTTGTCACTGATCCTGTACGATGCAGTTTTTTGCACATGTTATGCGCTGATTGACTTTCGCAAGCAATAAGTGGGCGTTACCATACGAAAATATTAATTTTTTTTTCACTGAAACCGTAATTTTGACAGCTGTATTGTTTTAAAGCATCACAGTTTCGAGTGCTTGTTTTCATATAACAATATCTCAAATTTTGTTTCGATCGGTTAAGTAGATATGCTAGAGATTCATGTATGGGAGACATTTTTTATGACCACTCTGTGTATATTCCTTATATCAATTTATTTAGTCGTACATCATACGACCTGAATCAAGTACGCAATGCGAATGTTATATGAATGTAATTTTTTAACCTTTGATTTAAAATTATAAAAATAATTTAAAATTACAAGTAATTTTACCAAGCCTGCATCAAATTATTATATTAAATCCCGTTTACACATTCCATTAAGCATATCTTGGGAAAAATATAGCACATGGAATGGATATACAATATGTTTGGCTATAAATGCTATACAGCATCAGGCACATTTTATCTTTCAGGATATGTTTATGATTTTTGGAAGAGATTTGGGTTCAGTAGCATGCAGAAATCAAGCATCATTATGTAATGATGCACAGAGAAAATGGTACACCTAAAACTTTAGACAGAGGTATGACAAATTCTTAAGGGTTAAGATAATATATGCTCAGTCACAAATAATACATTCGAATTACCTGTCGTTATTTTTATGACTATTTTAAACGAGTATGAGATAGATTGAAATCTTCTGCTTATGAATTAAATCAAATGTTTAAAGCTGAAAGCTTTGAAAGCGTGTAGAAACATCTAAGTGGCGAAAGTTACGGCAAAGCTTTTCTTCAGTCGAAATTTCCGTTCTATTTCCTGAATGCCACCTAAATACTTGCAGAAAGCTAGAGATCTCAATCGTTTCTTCCCTGACTTCCTCTTTTCCGAATGGAGTAAATAAAACTGATTGACGAGTCTCTTTTACTGCGATTCATGGCACATGAGGGATTTGGAACATGCTTCATTCATTCACCTGAATGTATGGTATGGGCTTTTATCTCATCGAATTTACACAAGCGTAACAGGAAGTACAGAAAGATTTTAGTGCTTTACTCTTTCCATGTAACCTAGTACCACTAGCTAGTGGAAAATCCATGAGATCACACGATCTCCATAGATCGAAAAAATAAATAAACATTGGAAAATTTAAGGAAATTTTTAACGATTTTTTTTCTATTCAAATATGAAACAAATCCATGAAGTCTAGCTTTTGATGTTAAGACGGGTCTTTGGAGTTCTAATTCAGCTGATGGCAAAAAATAGTCCTGATTAATAATTTATATTCAAAATGCAAAAGAGATAAATAAGTTACTTTAAAAACAAATAAAATAAATTTAAAAAATGAATAATAATGAGAAATTTATTCATATTATTAGAACTGCTCCTTTAAGAAATAAATAATCATCTGAACTTCAAGAATTTAATTAGAGTATTTTTAAACTTTGATCTATAGAAACCTGGATTTTCGACCAAATTCTGAAGCGGTTTCGCAAAACAAAACTAGAATTTGAAAGAATTTTTGAATAAAATCTGCAATACATATTAAGAACTTAAACAATAAAAATAATATTTTTATCTTTTATTATTTAAGGTAATATCAAGTAAATGCTTGTCTGTAAGTGAAATTAAACTGAAATAAAGAATATTTTCATTCTTCACATAAATTACAGATCCTTCAATGCTTCTTCATAATTATTTTACTGAGAATGTTTAGGATTCTAGTAAAAATTACAATATCAATTTTCAAAAGTGAATTATACTTTTGAGGACCACAAAGAAAAAAAATTAAAATTTCTAAGGATTCACTGAACTTCCAAAATGTTGACTATATAACTAAATTATGACACATGGACCATAATTATGAAGGTGATTATTTTTGCCTAGAGATTCCTGAGGGAAATTGTGCCAGTTCGTAACTGCATTATACATGGCAAAAAGACACTTATATTTCCGTACACTTTTTAAAAGTTTGCAGCAAATATTATTCTTACTATTTCTTACACACATATGAAGCGATCCTAAAGATATGTCTCCAAAATCCATTAAATGCTTCATAACTTTTTTTGTTGTTGTTATTATTTTAACAAGAGCAAAGATCTCGAATATTTTGAATCACTGAGAAACACGCATATGTTTGGCCAAGCCTATACACTTCATTCAAAATTTTCATGAAATATTACGTGACAAGTTTTTAAGAATAATTCCTTAATTAAGGATTGATTATGGTTAAAAATATTTTGCCTTTCATGAAGGTTCTCTTTATACTTATGATAAATTGATGGTTAAAGGTAAAAAATATAGCCAAACGAAGAAAATAAGATTAATGGAATTACCCATTTTAGCAGTTTACATTGTATTAATTTTTTAAGTAT